ATACATACATACATACATACATACATACATACATACAAACATATTTTATGTTTTGTCTTGCACTCCTTCCCACGAATTGTAAGCCGCCCTGAGTCCCCTCAGGGAAAAGGGCGGCCTATAAATGACAAATAAAACTATAAACTATATATAAAAAAAAAACTATACATACATACACACACACACACACACACACACACACACACACACATGCATGTGAAATATTAAAACAGAGTATCTACTAGCAGAAAGTATGTATCTTAAAGAGAGTCATCTTGTTTCTGTAAAACAATGATGTAATAATGTACAGTAAAGATGTTTAGGTCAAGGTTGACAATGTTAAGATAGTAAATGAAGCATTCTGAACTCTGAAAGAAACTAGTTAATTTACACACATTCTTTGCCTTGTCTGTAATTCACGTGTGTGTGTTTTGGGCACTTTTTCAAATATTATCCTATGGGACCTTTTCTCATAATTCTACTTGCACAACTCTCCATGAGAGGCTTGTGTGAAAAACACTGTCCTGATACCCTCAATTGGACACAGCTATTCCAAAGATTTAAGTCCACAGGAAAAGAAACAGTGACAAACTGAGTCAGAAACAAAGGCAACATGGTTCCTGTCAGTAGCAGAATTCACAAGGCAAGGCCATATTTGCAATCCATCAACAGTGCCCCTTGCTATCTTCTACTTACTAATTAGGGGTCAAGCTTAAGTCTTGGTGACTTCATGGTCCTATCCTTGTAGTCGTCTTAGCAACAGCATGGAAATGGTTTACTATTATTTTCTTCCATGATTTTCTTTTCACTTCTTCATCTAGCTGTTGGACTTCATGGAGGTATCCCATTCAACTACTAACCTGGCCCTGCTTGGTTTTTCTTTTTTTTTTGGTGTGTGCGCGTGTGTGTTAAAAATGTATTCTATTTTTTATTTAGATCAATCAAGGTTAGACTCTGATTCTGGAGGCAATTTAATTTTTGAGGGCTATTTTAATATATTTTGCAAATGGTCCTCAACTTACAACCATTCCTTTAACAACTGTTCAAAGTTATGATGGCACTGAAAAAAACTGACTTACAATCAGTCCTCACATTTGCAATGCCGCCATCTCCCTGCAGTCAAGTGATAAAAATTCAGATCTTTGGTAACCCGCATGTATTTACAATAGTTGTAAATCGCAGGGTCACATGACTGCTATCTGCAATCTTTCCAGCTGGCTTCCAAACAGCAGTCAATGGGGAATAATGGATTCATTTAACAACATACAATTCACTTAACAGCTGTGGTGATTCACTTAAAGAGCATAGCAATAAAATCAGGTGTGACTCATTTAACAACCATATCACTTAGAGATGGAATCTGCAGTCCCAACTGTGCTTGTAAATCAAGGACTACCTGTCTTCTAATGTTATCTTTTCAACATAATCTACTGCAAAATTATAGTGCAGCGTGACCATGGTAGATAACTTGATACTGTGTTTCCCCCAAAATACGACATGTCCTGATAATAAGGCCATGCCACATTTTTCTGGTGGGCAAAAATATAAGCCCTCTCCCACAAATAAGCCCTCTGGATAACCCCCCACCTCCGACCAGGCAAAGCCCCGCTCACCAACCTAGCGGTATCCCAAAGGTGCCAAGCCACGGGAACTGGGGGGATGGGGAAAGGTGATCGTGTTGCTTGGTGCCTTCAGGATACTGCTAGGTTGGTGAGCAGCGCTGTGCCAGTTGAAGAGGGGGGTTGCCGGGTACGGCAGCCACCCAGCAAACCCCCTTTCCAGCCATGCAGAGTGCCATTCATTGACCTAGGAGTATTGCCAAGCTGAGTGAAGGCCTGTTCGCCGCCGCCTGGCTCTCGTGGCTTGGCACCTTCAAAATGCCAGTGAATGGTGCTCTGCACAGCTGGAGAACGGAGTTGCATGAGCGGCTGTTCTGCTCCCACTCCAGCACCTCCCAGCCTCATGATGCCCTGGCCCAGCTCTCCCTGCAGAGCCGCCATCCTAGCATGGCTTTTTCCAAACTGAGTCTTCCAGCAGTGGCCACTCTGGGCGTATGCTCTATGGTTGTGGGCTGGCTGTCGGCAGAGCATACAACCATAGAGCGTACGCCCAGAGCGGCCACTGCCAGAAGAATCGGTTTGGAAGCCACCGAAAAAGCCATGCTGGGGTGGCAGCGGCAGTAGAAGCGGAGGTGCCCTGGCTCTGCAGGGAGAGCTGGGCCAGGGCATTGTGAGGCTGGGAGGCATGTGAGAGAGAGCGGAACAGCTTCTCGCGCAACCCCCCCCTCTCCAGCCCTGCAGAGCACCATTCACTGGCATTTTGAAGGCGCCAAGCCATGGGAGCCAGGTGGTGGCGAACAGGCGCTCACGCGGCTTGCTGATACCCCTAGGTCAGTGAATGGCACTGTGCCTGGCTGGAAAGGGGGTTTTCCGGATGGCTGCTCGTGAGCGTGGTTGCTTCATGGCTGTGCCTGGCTCTTTGGGAGCCCGCTCGCAAAAGAGCAGCTGCCCGGCAACCCCAAAATAATAAACCCTCCCCTCATAATAAGACCCAAGCCATATTTTGTGTGTAAAAAGAAAATAAGACCCAGTCTTATTTTCAGGGAAACACGGTAATTAGAAGTCATGAAGCCTTTATTCGGGGAATTCATTAACTCCCTTTAAATTCACCCGTCTAAAAATCATTATTGTTTGTTTTAAACAAGCTAAATAATAAAAGATATTGCTGAAACTCACAGCATTTTTTTGCCGCTTCAATGCAAAGTTCTTCTGCTGTGTACTTGCCACTTGTATAAGGAAGGGAAGGTTTGTCTTGTAAGTAGAACACTATTTCCAGCATTTGCTCCGGAACTTCTGGCTTGACTTCATTTTTCTTTGAACTTCTCATTTTTGCACAGAAAGCCATCGCTTTACAGTCCTCTTTTACATACATATACTACATACAAAGAAAGAAAAATATCACAACAAAATAGACAAACTATCAAATACTTTCCATTAATATTACATTTCTTGAGGCATCTTAAAAGAATTAGCAAATGGATTATGACATAAATTCAACAGTGAAAAACACACCAGGAAGCAATAAACCAAAATTAATTTTTCTTATCTTTATTTTACAACAAAATAATGTCAACTGGACCTGTTTAGGATAAACAGCCATGATGGTGAACCTATGGCAAGTGTGCCAAAGGTGGCACATGTGCACTGTCCAGCTGGTCTTAGCAGGTGCTGGAGTGCTGGAAAATGGCCTGAAAACGGCAAAAAATTGGCCAAAAAACCTGGTTGTTGTTTGGGCCATTTGTGGGCCACTTTTCAAGCCATTTGGGGGCTGTTTTTCAGGTTGTTTTTTTCTGGCAAAAATGGCCCAAAAAACAGCCTGAAAACAGCCCTCAAAATGGCCAAAAAACAGGCATGTACATGCCAGCCATCTAGTCATCAGGTTTCCGGTGCTCCGGAGCACACATTCACGCACATTCCAGTTTGGGCACTTGGTGCTGAAAAGGTTCGCCATCACTGATATATAGCAGAGCCTATCAGGGTGTATTATCCATCTCTATGCAAAATAATTTAGTAACACTGTCTTAAACACTGTAACAGTGTTTTCAACAGTGTGAAAAACAAAACCCTGCAAAGTAATTTAGTAACATTGTAGTAAAACCTGAGATATAAAGTCTACGAGCAATTCAAGAACGTAGGGCGTTGGCAGAAGACTGAAGGCTCCATATGTGTGTTATGATCTATGACTAGTATAAAGATTCTGTTAAAGAGATAAACATCTATTTCGTTATCTTGATTTTAAAAAGTACCAGATTCTCTTCTGTTTTTGCTGTTCCACACCCTACTTCTGCCACTTACTAAGCCATCTGTGTAGATGCTCTATAATATGGTGCATAGATGGTAAAAGGATATGTTCCCATATTGACAGATACAGCAAAATAACGATACAACAATAGTCAAATACAAAGATACAAAGTTTTACACTTTTTGTATCAATTACTGCTTCAGAAGTAATTTTAGGAAAAAGAACATACCTGCATTTATATGGATTTGTGACTTCCCAACAAGAAAATGTGTCTCTTTTCAAAATATCAGAGAATCTGATTAAAAACAAAGGAAATATAGAATCAATTCACAAAATAATGTACAGAAACTAAGATTAGAGGGTGGTCTTCTGACTGAATATTTTGGAAAAGCAGAGATCCACTTCAAGTCAAGTATTAACAAAACAAAGTACTAAACGATCTCCTTTCAGCCTGTAGTAGGTTCAAATAAAATGGAGAAATCTCAAAACTGTAAGATGAAAGCTAAAAACACGAACTTGATGTCATATATTTTGGGTTTTACTTAGCATATTGTATATACATAGCCCCTAAAATGTATATGGTTATGTCTTCACAGCATGGGTGAATCTAACTAAGTGGGGCTTGTACAACAAAATGTGATTAAGTAAATCATGGTTTAATATAAGTGAAGTACATCTGAGTAGCAGCAAAAATGATACTTAAACCTTGTCTAACAATTCATTCATATAGGACAAGATAACTTCAAAAGATCTGCCTTGTTTCCCCAAAAATAAGACCTCCCTGGATAATAAGCCCAATCGGGCTTTTGAGTGCATGCACTAAAAAATAAACCCTCCCCAAAAATATTGCAACACAGCAGCAGTCATGAGGTGACCAGACTCACTGCCTCCTGCACCTCAAAAATAATAAGACCTCCCTGAAAATAAGGCCAAGCACTTATTTCGGGGGTCAAAAGAAAATAAGACGCTGTCTTATTTTCGGGGAAACACTGTATTATATTTCTGAATTTTGCAATTTCATGTGTTCCCTCTTGTTTCTTCACCTAACAAGTGTTTCAGAACACCTACTGGCAAGATACGATCTCACATTTAGACATAGAAAAGAACATCTAAACACAAAATATTAAGTCATAATATATTGCTAATAATATATATTATAACTAATATAACAAATATATTGTTATATATCTGCTGAAGAAGGTTATGAGAAATTATAATGTAAACAACACTTACTGGCTTGACTTTGAGACATTAGAGTCTCCTCTAAATGCAGAAAGGGTCCTAATTAAAGAAGCTTACATCAGATTTTTCTGATGTCCATCCATTTACATTTTGTTTCTGTTGATTCTAAGCCATCTGGAAACCAAGGAGACAGGCAATGTCACAAGGTAAAATGGAGAACAGATTACAGACTTATTACATTTTCTCATGATTATTACTCATGAAGCACAGGTGTATCACAATGTGTCATTCTACAGTGTTTCACAGCAAAGACTAGTCCTTCTTTCCAGGAACTGCAAAAATAATTTCTGGAAATTGTCACTTTTTAGCAGCAATTTAATTAGGAATGTATCTAAAAACAGAGAAAGTGTAACCACCACATCAGGAAGAGCAGAGTTGTGGGGAGAGGGGATGTTAAACAAGATTATCTCAATGATTATTACCACTTGTGATCATAATGGGCAGGCTCCATGGTAACCCTAGGACTATCTATATCAATATTAAGCCATAAAACCAAATGTTAATGTATTTAAAAATTAAGCAGAATATTCTGCATGATGGAAGGCTGGAAGTACCAACCTTCCTTTCCCGGAAGCTTTTTTGCGTGTTCATGCCCTGTTTCCACCTGCTACTTTGGAGTAGTGGCTTAGTAGATTCCACTGTTACCATATTACTATGTCCTAATGAACATCTAATTGGCATCTACCCAATTCAAGAGTATTACAGACCATCTGGCTTTCTGGCTATTAAAATGCAAACACTGAGATAATCTCAAAAATGCTACTTCCTAACTATACAGCATAGAGTCACTAAAACTAGGGAATTTAGTTCTCCACTCTTCCATTTGGGAGATAATCTAATTTTACTGGAAACAAACAAAATCAACTTTATATTAAAAAAGAGAGAGTAACCCATAACGAACCTTTTTAACATTAAAATATTTTAGTGTAATTTTAAGCATCAAAACACAAATATTCAGTGGTAAATATCAATTATATTCAACCCTGACAATTTATTAGAAAAAGAAAAATCCCAAAGAAGATCCATCCATCCATTTAGTTTTATAATTTATTGAGAGAGATGGAGAATACAAAACTTAATACAGCAAACTGAAACTGAATAAATAAATAAAACTGAATTCAAGAAAAGCTGGAAGGAATATTTCGCGATTTGTATGGACTGACATTGGCACAGTATGTTGGAAGATTTAATTGAAACAGGAAAAGCACAATTCCTGGCTAGAAATAGCATAGTTCTGGAGCAAAGGAACCTAGAATATTTCTAGAAAGCCCCAGCTTCTTGGAAATTTCATCTTTTACTCAGAGACTAGGGAGAAAAAACCAAACCCTCAAATCATCATCTTCACAGATGTATCTGGAGTTCTGCTGAAGCTTTCGGTATCACCAGCAGAGGGAGGAAGTAAGATAACCAACAGTACGTGACAAACAACATGGGAATGTGTTTTGCATGTCTGAGTCTGCAGGGTGGCAAGCAGCGTATTTTTAAAACTGTAATGTAATATATTTGTGATGAGTGTTGGGATATTTTGTGGGATTTCCCCTCCTTTTTATGTATCTAGGTAAAAATAAAAATAATAAATGTTCTCCATTTGCCCTTTAAAAAAAACTATGTAGGGGCAAATAGGCATTAACCTCATTTTCTGGGAGAATCAGCAGCTTCCTTCAATACAGGCTCAGTTCCTAGTGACCTTGTTGATGGCTGGTTTTAGTGTGCTTATCAAGCCCTCCCAAAAGGTAGCTAATGGTAAAACAGGCATTGGGAAGAAGTTAGAGGAAAAGTGAGTTGGGTATGCTGTAATTAATACAATCATTATAGTGATAGGGGCAAAGCTGGTATCCGAGAAGAATAATAGGAAGCTGGCTAGGGAATTCTAGGAGCTGAAGTCCATAAGTCTTAAACTTACCAAGATTGGACACTCCTGATCTATACATTTTCAGCAATTAAAACAGTTTAAATTAATAGCAAAAACATTTGTTACATAGCCACCAACCCTTCCTCCCCCAAAATATAAAAAACCAAAATACAAAATAAACAGTTAAACTCGGGATGAATAATAAGATCAGTGAACTTTAAAGTTCTGCTAAAAATGGAACTTGTTCACAATTGTTAAGATCAACTCTTTTGAGAGAACGCTTGTAACAATTAGGTTATACAGTGTCAGCTAGAAATATTCACTCTCTCTTTTTCCAAGGATGTCTATTTCTGCAGTACTTTTCAGAACTGGAGGATTCTCAGAGGGAAAAGGTTTAGGGAAGTGTAGGAGAGGCACAAATGGAGGAAGAAATCTGACACTGTTTTTTTTTAATTTATTTCATTAAAAATAAAGCCCAAAATTCTACTATCTATATTTTATGACAGATTCCTCCTTTCATCTAAACTTAAAATAATAATCAATACCCAGATTATGGCTTCTGGCCTTTCAAAGTCTACAAACAGCTTTTTAAACATGTAATTGCATTAGAACTGAATAGCAAGGCCCACACACACAGAAACAAGATTATTCTAAGTAATATTATGTAATTTCATATTATGCAACCCGAAGTTATGAAATCAATGCCAGACCGATTGGTTAATCTAATGAAAAGACTGTTTCTCAAAATCCCTGTTTTAGCTACCAAAACTGTAAAATCCAGGAACAAATATGAAAAGTTGCCATAATCTTTCTGGAAAACATGAAACTAACTTGACCATTTTGACAACCCCAAAATGATTCCATGATACAGTTGCTTCATAATTTTCTATCAACCTTGTATATAAGAATAGTAGTAACATTTATGCTACAGTAGCATTAAAATGTTATTTGAGCTGGGAAAGTTAAAACCACTTTTAAGAACAAAATTTCCTAAATGTAACATAGAAACAAAGATGTATCCCCAGCTCTACAGCTGAAAAGCACTTGAAATTTATTCAATAGGAAAATAGAATAGAAAGTTAGCACTGAAGCTGCTTAATAGTGCCAGACCTGAAGATTGCAGTCTTTCCCATAACCGCATTTCCCTAGGCTGGACTCAGATCTGTGAAATTGTCTTTATTCACCTGGATCAGAGATGGTATTCTACCAGTTCAGACCGAGTCGCTCGAACCACTAGTGGAAATAGTGGGTGGCCCTGCCCACCAACCCAGTTCTACGGCATCCCATTTAGGCCCTTTTTCGTCAAAAATGCATGCATGGAAGGCTGTGTATTTGCGAACCGGTAGGGAAGGTAAGTGAATACCACCCCTGACCTGGATATTTTATTTGAAAAGTGTGTTTGAGTTTAATTTGAAAATGATCCATACGTCATGATATGTCAAGAAAGCAGCAGTGAGTTTTTACAGTAGAACATTGTTTTCTTAAAATTTAGGGCAATTATATGCATCTTATATGATGTTGTTGCTCAAGAAAGCCTAATAAGAATTATGCATACCTAGAACTGAAAGCTTCTGAATATTTCTGATACATGAGAAAGTATATTCTCTTAATATTATTATGAGATCATTTAATAATATAGGTTACCTTACATTGATAATCTCATAAGTAATTGTTTCAAGATAATATAACATCTTATGAAATTAGCAATTTTCAATTTCACTGAATCCCCAGTCAGATGAATTTCATATATCCAGTACTCGTCTCTAAATTTACGACTGTGTTAATATCTCTATGGAGATATTCTCCTCAGATAACTTAATTTGGCCATTTATTTACCAGCCTAGTAAGTTTAGTTTTAAAGTTTAGTTTTAAAGTTCAATATCTTTCCCAGTTTACATTTTCACATTACTAATGATGTAAGGGAAATATTTATAATGATGAGTAATTACTCTCAAAGTTCAGCAGATGACATCACTTAGATGACACTGATTGTCCTATGAAGCTAAAAAGGTAATTTCTGATGAGTACTTGATATGAGAGAATCTGGACCTCCCAGAGATGTACGCTGGAGCAGAGGTCTCTAACCCCTGGGGGTCCGTGGTCTGTGGCATGTCAGCAACGGGCTGCATAAACAAGCAAAGCCCCACCCACTGAATGCAGGTAGCACACAAAACCTCTGGTCCATGGAAAAAATTTTCTCCGCGGAACCGTTCCCTGGTACCCAAAAGATTGGGGGCCACTTGGCTAAAGAGTGAACAATGCAGCAGCAAACAAGTTCTGTAAGATTTCCAAGCCAACTGCATAACTACAGTAACTAGGAGTTGAGCTCCACTTGAGATTGTCCTTGATTTTTGTATATTTCAAAATGGCTATAACACAACTTTTATTGGATAGTGACCAAATCTATTAAAGCTATTTTGCATTTTGAGACCTTAGTTTGGCCTATTACTGCTATGGGCACAATATTTTACCACAGTTATAAATCAAATGAGATAGAATGTTGGTCTTACCTGAACGTGTCTTTTAAGAAGAAGGGAGGGAGTGGTCACGTGTGGTATTCTCAAAGCCTGATTGGTCCAAAGACTGAGAGCAAACTCTTAAATACTGGTGCTTTCCAATCCTAGCCCAGTTTCCTCTCAGTCTTTCTTGGTCCAAGTAGTGTTGAGAATATTCCTGGTAGGATTTCTATTTATTTCAATCTGATCTCTCTCTTATTTCAACTGGGCCACGGTCATGTGGCTTAAGCAGCTCCAGGAGCGCATCCCCATCCAGGACGAGCGGCTCCACCAGGATCTAATCAAGATCATGGCAGCCTCCCAGTTTTCCGCTGATGCGACCCTGGACATGGTCAAGTTTGCGTCCATACCACACATGACCACTCCCTCTCTTCCTCTGGAAAATGTGGCCAGTTTATATGTACAGACAAGAAGTATGTGAGCTTGGAACGTTGCAATTGCACTGAGTTCATCACAGATGTAAATAAAGTCTTACTTGAGAAAGCAAAGATGCTGATATTTAGTGACAACATAATGTACTGAAATCAATTGTGGGTCAATTGTGGGGATAAGAGAAGAGTTTGGTGACTACGGTTGCCCTCAACTTATGACTGTAATTGAGCCTGCAATTTCAGTTGTAAGTTGTGATGGTTGCTAAATGGGTTATCATGTGATCGCACCAATTTTATGACCTTTTTGTGGCAGTTGTTAAGCAAACTCAACAGTCATTAAGCAAACCCACTGTTTGCTACGGGGTACTTTT